AATATTATTCTGGAGGTTAATTCGACCTATCCTGGTTTCTACAACTAGGACACATGTTGACCTTACAGTGACAATTGACCTCTTAAAAGAACTGCACTACAACATTATAGTTTATCTATCTAATGTACTTATGGCCCAGGTTTGGTTTATGTCATGATACAATAAAGCACACCAAACAGTGGTGTGTAGCGTGGGGAAAAAAACTTCAAAGCAATAATGGGTATAAACATTCTTCAATGCAGAATTATGCAATGGTACAAAGCTACAAATTACTAAAATATGGCAATCAAATAGTCGTTGGATCCAAGGTTTTCTCTAGCATGAAGCAAACCATGTTGATAACTCCCATTGATATTGTTAATTTAATTTTCCATGACCATGTTAAATAGTAGTCAAATCTCTTTCCCTTCTTGTTGGGTTATACAATCCAAAACCAAATTTCAGTCATGGCAACGTTGACGTAGCATTATCAAATGAGAAATGTTGCTTAGAAATTCTTGTTCTTTAATCAAAGTAACCAACCCCCTTAGGGTGAAGCAAGGTATCAAATGGAGCATGTATTTTACTTGCAATTGAAGGTAAATTTGGGAAACTTCTTTTTGCTACGTAGTCCTTAAAATAATTCAAGCTCTTTTGGGTGTTAAAGCGTTGTATAAAGACCAACGGTTCCCGAATTAAGTATGAGAGTGAGTGAGAGGGTTGCAACATCTAGCGTGCACACCAATCACCTAAAAGAAATTTAAAAAGACTTAAATATCTTTTTATTTTATGAAATACAATGTAAATGTGTTTATAATAGCTTATTTTAAATTAATTTTTTTTAGTCTATCTAGTCAAATATCATTAGTGAATATGTTAAATATTAAGATATTAAAATGGATTAGCTCGACTCATTTGGTCTGATCCATCTCAACTCGCTTTTTAAGTGAATTGGTCTGGTTCAACTCACTTGCTTAAATGTTTAAAAATTTTGGTCCGATTCGATCTATTACGTGTTGGTGGGTTAAATGGATTAATTTACTAATTCACCTATTTTTTTTATAAAAAAAAACTACAATATAAAATAGACTTCAATCCAAAATAACTTCTAATCGAAAATAAAAAATGTCAAAGTAAGTACCAAGTATATAACATTAAACCTAATTAAAAAAGTGAGTAACTTTAAATAATAAAAACAAAATAATGAAAATTCTTGTCATTCGAATGATTGTCATCAATATTAAATTTCATTAAAGACTTGACTAGATAAATCTATAACAATTTGATGTTATTTAAAATAAACTTTATTTACATCTACAAAATAAAATGATACCTTATTAAAATAATGCATATAACAATAAATGATTAAATTCTTCAAATTAATGAATTACCCTATATGTATAAATTTCCCATCCAAACACATCATAAAAGAAATTTAAAAAGACTTAAATATCTTATTTTATGAAATACAATGTAAATGTGTTTATAATAGCTTATTTTAAATTAATTTTTGGCTAAAAACCTAATTTGGTCCCTTATAATCTTTTTTTGTTTCAATTGAGTCCTTCATTAATTTTTGGTCTCAATTTGGTCCCAAACTAATTAATTGGTTTCAATTTAGTCCCAAATTAATTAATTGGTTTCAATGTGGGACTTTCCGTCCAAATTGCTTTAACGGTGTTAACTTTTGGCCACGTGGACGCCATGTAGATGCATACGTGGATGCCACGTGGATGAGAATTTTTTTTAAAACACCTGGACCCAGAACGGCCCTTTCTGGGTGCACTTTTGGTGTGTTAATTTTGCATCCGGAACGGCCCGTTTCAGGTGCAAAATTAACACAACGAAAATGAAACCAGAACGGCCCGTTCCGGTTTCAGAACAGGCCGTTCCGGTTTTATTTTATTTTATTTTATATATAAAATATTAATAATTTTATAAAATATATATTATTAATTATATTTTAATTATGTTATTATATCTAATAAAATAAATATATTAATATTTTTTTATATTTTATTTTATTATGTTTATTTTATTAATTTTTATCATTTTATTCTTTTAATCTTAAATAAGTTGCAAAAAATTATAAAGTGATATTTAAATATTTCTTCAAACAGAAAGAGAAAGAAAAAATTATTACTCTATTTATAAGATAATTATATTTTATAAAAATAAGTAATTTTAAAATTTTTACCATAAAAAAATATTTTTCAAAATTATTATATTTTTTAATAAAATTAATCAAGAATATTGGTTTAATTGCATTTT